TTTTTTCTAGAAATTTGATAAACAAGCACTACCGATACAACTCCAAAAAATGAGAGAAGAAGAATGTGAATGAAAAATTTTCTTGCACAAAGTAAATTTGTATGTAATAAGCACGGTATATAAAATTTTGAGCACTTTTTTATTTTATATTGCCCTGGCTGTAAAAATTTTTGCATTTGATGCTGGCCCCGGGGGTCCATTAGGCACAAATTATTGAATTGATAGTTTATGGTTGATAATTGAAAAGATAAATGATAAATTATTGTAAGGTTGATGACTGAAAAGATAGTCGGTATAATAAAAGTATTCATCTAAAACCAAAAAATAAAAAAAAGAAAGAAAGAAAATATCAATATTTCTTTTAGAAAAGCTACATAGAGTAAACGTTTGAGATGAGTTCGATTTAATTCAAAAATCATCCAACCAAATTGATTGAACTAAAAAAAATAAAAACTTATAAACTAACTAAATAAGTTATAGACTAGTTTATGATATTTACCGAACATATTCTATTTTCGAAAGAGGTGGACTTAAAATGTAATTATGCGAATTTTGGGGTACTTGATACATGAAGCGTGTTGGACTTGTTGCGGGTGATAAATAAATAAATAATAGACAAAAAATAGTATTTATTATTAAAATGTTTATAATTCGTGAGTTGACCAATATTTTCTTTTTTACACCTTTCATAATTGTTTCTTATCCGAATTTTCCAATACGTGAACGCAATTGCCTGTTCGAATTTGGAAGTATTAAATTAAAAAAAAAAAAAAAAAACATTATATTGTTCGTTGACTTTTACAGCGATAAATAAGCATCTCAAATGAACCAATAATTTCCATAAGTTCAATGATTATTTATTATTTTATTTATGTTATATCCTATAGTGAAGTCTAGTATTTTGTTTGAGAAAAATAATAGTTTAATAATTAGATTTGTCTATAGTTGTCTTACGTAATATTGTATTCTTATTCTTATACAAAGGGTGTAAACGAAGTAAACTGAGTTGTTAATGAGCCGATAAACGAGCTCAAACTCAGTTTGTTTATCAATATTAACGAGCTAGCACAATCTGTACTGCAACTCATTTTGTTTAATAGTTTTATTCATATATTTTCCTTTTAAATATGTCATGCAAGTCAGGAATTCTTTCTTTTGTTTATGTTGTTTGAGATATTCTTGTTAGCTTAACTTTTTCGTACTTAGATTAATTATTTGTGAACATAAGAGAACAATGAGACAAATTATCCAATAATAATAATAATAATAATAATAACAATAATAATGAAGTGCACTAATTATCTTCTTGGTATACATCAAACTATAATTACAGCGGCAGGCCTTATACAAGGCCAAATTTCATTTTTGGTCCATTATATTGGTCATTTTCAAAAAATGGTCCACTAATTTGGCGGACATCAAACTTGATACAATAAGTTGTAAAATTCATCTTTTTTGGTCTATTAATCACTCGGGAGCCTACGTGGCGGACATCAAACTTGTCCACGTATTCGCCCGATAAAACGCCACGTAAGCTTATGGACCAAAAATGATGAATTTTACAACTTATTGTATCAGGTTTGATGTCTGCCAAATTAGTTGACCATTTCTGGAAAATGGCCAATATGATGGACCAAAAATAAAATTTTGCCCCTTATCCAATAATTAGACGGGATAACTATATTGTTCAGATAATATAATTATTTCGTATATAAATTCATTAAGATGACTTATATTTATTAAAAAAGTAGTATTACTTTTATTTGAAAAACAAAAAATAAAAATAAAAATGTAGCAAGTAATCATTTAGAACGTGAGATGAATTAAGACTAATCTATATGAAAGGGCTGTACTTAAGAGTTGAAAATATTTATTAAGAACATAACTTAAGCTTTACTTCACATATATATTTATTTTTTTCTTTTATGCGCATGCATTCGCTTCTTTATATAGCTCAAGCCTCTTCATCATATCTTACTTTTAAATTTTTCTCCTTTTGACAAATTTATGATTAGGGGTGATCATAAATATGAGAGTATATAACAGTTAAATTGATATTCTTATGCGTATTTTCTAACTGAAATATTATAGTCCAAAAGTAATAAAAACAATAATATGACAATTCATATAACACGTATGGTGGACCGACATGCTTAATAGTTGGACCGCCTCATACAAAAATCATAAATTCTTACGTGGTGCAGTCTAACCGTTAGGCGAGTTGACTCCTCGACGAAATTTCATACTTTTTGTTTATGTGATTTATTAGAGTATGATAATTCAATGTATTTGAAAAAAAAAAAAAAAAAAATACTTGCTTAAGATTAAGAATTACACATGTCTAAAGCAACCAGGGTCGGACCTACATGAGGTCACGGGCTCACCTCAATTTTCTTTTAAAATCATCATATATATATATATATGCTTATAAAAAATAATATAATCAAATAAATAAAAATGTAAAAAATATGTAAAATATATAAATAATTAAAACTTTTTCTCAATGTTATTTTAATATAAAGTAATAATATTATTTAATTTATTGAAAAGTATACTAATAATCATTATATTTTACATTTCTGGATAAATTTTTGTAAATATTTTATAATAATTTACTCTTTCGAATTTTTAATTGTAAATCAATTAATGATTTATAAAACCTAGAATTTAGTTGGATCGTTAAATTTTTGAATGTTGATCGATTGTATATTTGAACGTTGATTTTTGACTTTATTTTTACATATGTAATCACGTATTTTCAACTTTATATATTTTTTTATTAAAATAATAATCATTTGATAAGCTCTCATCAACAAAAATGTTATACAATGTGTTCATTTTAAATCAATTTTTGAACAAAAAACTTATTTATTGTTAATTATAGATCTTAAACTTCAATTATAAATACGCGAAATATCATTTTTTTCTTAAAAAAAAGTTTGAGTGTTATACGGATTTTAAGTTCTTAAAAACTTGAAGGTAGACATATTAATATCTATATTTATTATGATTAACACAACTCTATATAAAATGAGCGTTTCTATGTAAATTACAAACTTCTTATTCAACATTTAAAATCGAGCATCCCAGAGTGGAAATACTGGCTCCGTCATTGAAAGCAACATTTGCTTTACAAAAGTTTGTGATTTATATTATGTATATAATTTATCAATATGTATATATATATTGCATTTTAAATTATTGCGTGTAAGAAATTAATCCACCAAAATAGCACGCGCGGGATAAAAAGGTACGTAGAATCTTCTGACTTCCTATTAAGGGGAAAAAATACAGGAGATATAAAAGCATAAATTGTACACAACATAATGATAATATATTTTGACCTTAAATTATTAATGTTTGCAAAACTTCAACTGTTAAAAGGTGTCAATATTCCAAGCTCTCTTTATATTTTAGGGAGATGCTACGGTCCCCTTACGGTACCATCCCGTCGGTTGTTTTAACCGTTAGATCTACGTGTAGTTAGATAAGATCGATGATCCAACGGTTAAAACATCCGACGGGATGGTACCGTAACGGGATGGTAGTATTTCCCTATATTTTATTAGTTATTATTTGACAAACCAATAATTGTGGATAGTAAAGTTTTCAAACAATAAATTCTCACTATTATCATATATATATATATATTATCATCTTTATCATCTAATTATTATCAATAGAAGGTTTTTGTTCTAGTCATATGCATGCATTAATGTTAGAATTTTAGGAACCAAAAATTCCAATTTTTCAAAAGAAGTTTTAATAATTAATATACGCAGCAGAAATAAATAAGCACGAAAAAATTTAAAATTTAGTTTACAAGTGAAAATTACTTGTAGACTAAGATACTAGATCAAATCAATTACAATGCTTTCAAACAATTCCAAAATATTCCCAACCCGTCTAGTGAATGAAGTAAAATATTCACAAGTTCGAACGAGATGCACTATATCAAAACAAATTATCAGAAAGCGAATAACACAATAATCCCCAAGAGTTTGATATGAGAATAGTAATAAAGAACACAAATCCAAAAGATTTTTGTCGTAAAAAAAACTCCTCTTGATTGTTCGTGTTCTTGTAAAAAAATCCATGTTGTTTGTCCTTCAAAACTTATAGTTGTTGCTTCAATATTATGCAAAAAAAAAAAAAAATAATAGTAATAATAAAAATAAAAAAATAAAAAAATAAAAGACTCTTTTTTATGTTTTTAATCAAACATGAGCAGCCCTCATTAATTTCTCTTTGCTGATCTTCTTTTGGTCACTTTTTTTTTTATTGCACGCAAATCTCTTCCCCTCTCTTTTTCTTCTACGGTCCCGTTACGGTTCCATCCCATCCCGTAATTAACACATAATTCCGTATTTAAATGTGTTACTTCAATAAACAGTTGAAATCTAAATATGACTATTTACATAATAAGTAAACATTTCTCTAAAAAAAATGTAAGGTTCACACCAGAAATTGTAATAGACCTAACACAAGGAATAATATTAATTTCACAATAAAACTTGTAATACACAATTATAATGGTAACACAATTATACATTTCCAATATGTATTTATACTTTTACACCATATTTAAAAAAAAAAGAAAAAAAAAAATCGCTGACATAAAGATTAAGTAGAAGGGAGATGCTACGGTTACGTTACGGAGTCATTCTGTCGGGATTTGTAACCAAATTTTTCCTACAAATTGGTGGGTTTATCATCATTATCACTACTTGTGCAACTTGAATCAAATATTCTTATTTATTAATATAAGTGGCGTGCTACTCATATTTTTTTAGCGTGGTGTGAAAATAAGCCGAAAGTATGGAATTTCGTGGCAAAGTGGATGAGCCCGTAAAAAAAGTCCATTATGACCAAAATTCACTTAGCCACACCTATATAAATACGCACACAAAACAAAACGCAAATTGCAAATCACTCCACATTTTATTTTATGCACCAAAAGAAATAAAATAAAAAAAACGAGACAGAGAAGACAAAAAAAGATGGCCATTATTCTTAACTGTAATCTTGGATCCTTCTTATTTCTGTTATTACCGTTACTCGCCCAGTTACATCTTGGTATGTGTTCTTTTTTTATCTATATGTGTGTGTGTGTCATTACTAGAGGTGTTAAACAAACCGAACTGCTCGTGGGCTCAATCAGACTCGACTCTGTCGAACTCGGTTAGGCTCATCTGATAAAGCCTAGTTCGTACTCGTGAAAGACTCGTTACGCTTGAAAAATAAGATTTTTTTACGTGATTTTTTTTTTTTTTTATACTTTTAACACAAGTCAACCCGTTAAGGCTTTAGTTCATTTATCGTCTCGTTAACTTATTGAGTTGACCTCTGCTCGGCTCGACTCATTTACACCCTTTAGACATCACCAATAATTTTTGCTTAACATATTATGGATAATATATTTCTAAAAGGAGATTTACCATTCCCATTATTGCAGGAAAAAGTGAACTTGAGTTGAATTACTACAGCCAAAGCTGCCCAAAAGCAGAACAAATAATCAAGGAACAAGTTGAACAACTGTACAAAAAACATGGAAACACAGCAATTTCATGGATTAGAAACCTCTTCCATGATTGTGCTCTCATAGTATGCATATAATTTTTTTTTTTATATATATACCTATAAAAATAATCCTATAAATTAACTTCTATTAATCATTAATTCATGAACACTCATTTCCAATTTTCTTTCTTTCTTTCGTTCTTTCTTTCTTTTTCTGAAACTATTGATAGTCGTGCGATGCATCCTTACTACTCGACAATGCAAACGGCATAATATCCGAGAAATCGGAGTCGAGGAGTTTCGGTATGAGAAATTTTAAGTACATAAACACAATCAAAGAGGCTCTTGAGAAGGAATGCCCCATGACTGTTTCTTGTGCTGACATTATTGCCCTCACAGCAAGAGATGGGGTGGCTTTGGTAATATTCATTTCTTAAACACCTCTTAATTAATTAATTATATCGTTTTACATTATCTCATTTTCATAATTTTGTGAGGTCGTTTTATAGAAGAATTTGTGACGTATATATAAATAATACTTTCTTTTTTTGGTTTCGACAGTTGGGAGGGCCATCGATTGATGTGAAGACGGGTCGAAGAGATAGTAAGGAAAGCCACGCATCGGAAATTGATGATTACATCCCTAATCACAATGATAGCATGTCATTAGTGCTAAGCACGTTTGAAAAGATTGGTGTTGATACAGAAGGTCTTGTTGCTCTATTAGGTGATTCATCCTTAATTCTCTTTATTCAACATAGATGAATACATTTCATAGTATAAGCACGCATTTTTGTTAAAGAAAAATATGACGGGTCGACTAGATAATCGATATAAGGCTGTCTCACATAAGAAATTGTATGTATATTCTATATAATGAGACTGATTTCATAATTAAATTGAAATCCCGATTAAGAAAATGTACGTATAAATATAGGTGCGCACTCGGTTGGACGAACTCACTGCACGAACATAGTCCAAAGACTATACCCGACCGTGGACCCGACTTTGGACCCGAACTATGCCGAGTACCTCATGAAACGATGCCCAACACCAAACCCAAACCCGAAAGCGGTCGAGTACGTGAGGAACGACCTTGAGACGCCGATGGTGTTAGACAATGTTTACTACAAGAACATACTGGCCCATAGAGGGCTCATGCTGGTTGACCAGCGGCTGCTGTCCGACCCAAGAACGAGCCCATTTGTGAACAAGATGGCCCAAGATAACGAATATTTTCACCAGCAGTTTTCACGGGCTTTCCTCATTTTGTCCGAAAATAATCCGCTGACGGGGGACAAGGGAGAGATCAGAAGGGATTGCCGATTTGTGAACTCTAATTGACTTTGGAATTTAGATGTTGCTAAGAAGTTGATTGGGCCTTAGTTTTTTTTT